AAGAATCTCCGGCTCATTGTAGAAATATGTAGTTAAATCTACCAAAACAAAGATTTTAGGTTGATCAAAGTAATGCTAGCTTCCAGCATAGAAGGGTGTGGGGAGACACTTGATCCACCACTGGCTGAAAAGCCATCAGCATTTGATAGTGGCTGCAGGAGGGAGAGTCAGTCGTTTGAATGATGTGACACATAGAGGGTGACCACACAGCAGAGCTGGCCCCAAACCCAAGACTAGTTGGCAACAGACAAACTGGACTCAATGGGGAAAGAGGAAAAAAAATAATTTCAAAGTTGGGTAGGAAAGGATGGGAGGTTGAGTGATAGGAGGTTGAGTCATAGGAGTTGAGAGGGTGAATATATTCAAAATAAATATGAAGTTCTCAAGGAATTAAATATAAAAATTGAATGCAAGCTTATTCCTTAAATAATATTAAATGTTATCAACACAAGAATTTGTCAAAGTAAGCCAATATAAAAACAAATAAAAGGAAAGTAAGAAAGATAACCAAATAGATGGTCCACAACAGTATTTTGAACATGGAGGGCAAATAAAAGAATCTTAGAGAACTAAACTTACCCAAAGTGTTTTAGAAAATGACCACTGGAAATGAATCTTGTCATAATATACTATTACACAATATCCACAGGGTTACATAAAAAATTATGAAAAAAAAACTAGCTCTTTAAAAAGAAAAACATTATTTTAACAAGTTTCTTAGTTCTTTCCAAAGCACTTCATTTTTTCCCTTGTCTTTATGTGGAAATTTTGTGCCCTCCTTCAACTGAATCTTAAAGTAGAAACTACTTACCCACACCATTTTAGCCTACACAATAAAAGTCCCCAGCATTAAAGATGTCCTAACGCCTCTGAGGTTTTCATTAAGTAGTTACATAGTAAAGACTTGTACAAAATCTAAAATAAATCCAATCCACTATGCCAAGACTCAGGAGCACATCCTATGTTCCTTTCAGTGCATACTTTCCTGAACTGATTGACTCAAAAGCTGATCGTTCCTTTTGATGATAGAAACCAAGGAATTTCAAAGGACTTTTTGTATCTACCTGACACTATGAGAAAATCCCAATACCAACATTTAACACTTTCTCGAACAACCCAGGGCCAAGGAGATGGCTCTGTAGATAAAAGCACCTAGCATGTGCACAGGAGTTCAAGTCCCTCCCAGAGCCCATGTGTTAGAGGAGATAATCAGCTTCCACTATTTATCTTCTGACCTACATGCACATGTGCATGCACACTCACACACATACACTCACACACACATACACATACACAAACACACTCACACACACTCACACATACATATTCACACACACATATACACACACAACACATACGTGTACACACAATTATTTAATCAATTAAACTAAAGTTCAAAAATTCATCTACTAAGCTTAGCTGACCTCCAGTCTCTTTTTCCTGTACTTGACTCAACAGCATGGAAAATGAAGACAGTGCAAACCATAACCTTCTAAATTGACAGGAGCCAGGTAAGAACTTCACAAACGCCTGAACAAGAATGAAATGATCACAGTTTCACTGGGTTTTTAGATGACTCTTCTCAGGGAGAGTCAAACTGGAAGTTAGTAGCCCTTATACAACCCATTTAAGACTAAACAGCAGTTACAGTTCGGACAGAAAGGCTGGAACAGCCATGTAATCACAGCACTTAGAAGTGAGGAGTTCAAGGTCATTCCTGGGGGCACAGCCTGGGCCACATGAGATCTTGTATCAATAAAACGTTATATTTTATATCTACTGAACCACACTAGTTCGAAGTAAAAATACACATTTCTTTATCATTTATAATTTTAGAACATATTTATGATGAATAAAGAATACTGTGTAAAAAAAAAAACTAGATGTCTTAGAATTTGCAGTCATTTAACTATAGCCCCATTAAAAATCAAAACAAAAGCATCATTGTATTGATTTTTCTGCAAAGTTAATTTAGAAGAAGTAAAATAGACAGAATGGCCTTTGAGACCTCTAATACAGTTAAACAAAATGTTATAAATATATGTGAACATAACAAATATAAATGTAAGCAAAATTCATGTTTATACTATAAACTCCAACACTACATGCTATATATAATACACACACATATATGTATGTATTAAATATTAGCATGTAAAGGAATTTGTATAGAAGAGAGACTTGGAGCTATGTAAAAAAGAGATGTAACTGTATATAGAAATATATGGCTGTGCAGGAAGAGATGAGGCTGTATGTATGTAAAGAGATATATAGCTGTATGTAAAGAGATATAGCTGTGTGGAGACAGAGAGATTTTAAAAAAAAGAGATTTTTTTAAAATGAAGTAAAAGAGAAAGTTACCATCAGAAGCATGTGTGTTTCCATATTTACCTGTCAGATAGAAACTTATTTCTAAAACCATCAGATAAAAAAGTTTCCTACAGTCCAGCTACTCTGAGGTCTTCTATTCACAACCCTGGAGCAGTTTTGGGGAGCTGGCCTCTCCTGGACTGCATTATATATATATTTCCTTTAATGTTTCATGCATAACCTATCTGAGAGGACCAAGCAGACTCCATAACAGGCTGCTCAGTCTTCTCTCAGAGATCAGGCCTCAATTTCAGTTTCCTGAGACTGAGCAGGCACTTTCTGAGGAAGAGCCATGAACAAAGGACAATCAATCTCCAACACCCCTGAGAGCAAGGAAAAGGGGCCTGGTAGGTGCAGCACCAGGCCAGAGCCACAGTCAGCAGCTCAAGGTGATAACCGAATAAGGACAAAGCCTGGGACTTGTCCAGGCCTGCCCCTAAATGGAAAGAGCTATAGCCTTAACCAGCCTCTGACTAGCCCTGGCCAATTAGAATGTACTAACATGTTTGCCACTTGCTTAAGCCAATCATATCTGAGATGACCTAACTGCCCTAGGACTCCTCTTGGCTGTGCTTAAAAGGGGCCTGTGAGCCTCTCTCAGGGTCATCACGATTTTGCCTTTGTGTAGGATGGTTGGCCCCAGCATACTGGAATCTTTCTTGAAATAATAAATGTTCTTGCTGATTGCATACATGGGACTTCTCCAGGACCCTAACACTATCTAGACTTAAATCTATTTTACCGAATATTATTATCATAGTATTTCCATACTTCTACTAACTTGGAGAATAATCAGCTAAATTGTCATTCATAGGGAAATGACCTTGGGTGCCTTTGGCCTAATGTGACGGTTATAACTTTAATAACTGTTAGCTTAGAAATAATGTGATAGAGCTGAGATACTGAATTTAGAAAGGGAAGCACTCCAGTGGAAGTACCCAGGAGAAACATGGAAAATTTGACCAAAGCTTGGAAACCAGGTTAGAGTAATGGAAGTGAACTTTGAATCATCCTATCCAGACTGGAAAGAGGAGGGGCCAGAAAGTACCAGGCCTATGCCGCCATTACCGGCTTGCCGAGGCTCCAATGCTGGGCTGAAAGTTACTTTCTGCATTCATTCATGCTAATCTGTACAAAGTGGGTGTTACTATCTTGAATTTCACACTCAGGAAAATGAATCTCAAAACTAAGCATCCTGAGACAGGAACCAGGGCACTGGTCTCCTCTGACTAGACGGCACGGCCCCTTCAGCATCTCACCTGTGAACATCAAATGAAGACCTCTACACAAATAAATCTGGAAAGAGGAACAGAGGGCTCAACCCAGGACTTCAAATGTGCCCTTCATCCCACAAAGCCTGGTGCCTTCCACCATTGAGTTGATTCCTAAAATGCTCAATGACAGTCTGTGTTGCTCTGGAAATCACTCACTTGTGATGGGTTTCCATACTAGCTGCACTCCTAGAACCTATCCTTAGGGACATAACCAAGTACACTTGGCCAGTGAATGAACTAATCCTAATCCTACTCTACCCAACTTGTTTCTACTTACATTGATCACATTAGAGCTTTGTTTAATACAAAGTATTATCTTTATTTTGTATTAATTATCTTACCTATAACAAAAATTAAGCTACCACAGCACAGAATAGGCTTGAGCTTCAGGAACAGACAGTCACTCACAATTCTTGAGAATGTTTAGAAGTCCTTCTCACATGATAAAAAAAATGCTGCAGAATTCAGGCCCTGTTCCTCAGCCAGTTAGGCCAACATGGATTCTGACCTTTCGCCTCACTGGATTTGCTCTCTGTTATCTTCCTTGATACAGAGTGTGGCAGGCTAACCAAGTGAATTCTTCAGTCAACATGTCTTTCAGTCATTTACAAATGTGAGTGTGAGTGTGTGTGTGTGTCTGTAACAAAACAAATATATAAACAAACACACATATGTATATGTACATGTGGTGTGTGTAACAAAACAAATATATAAACAAACACACATATGTATATGTACATGTGGTGTGTGTAACAAACAAATATATAAACAAACACACACATATGTATATGCACATGTGGGGTGTGTGTGTGTGTGTGTGTATGTGTGTGTGTGTGTGTGTGTAATGTGTATCTCCAAAAATGTCCAGGCCATTCTTCTAGATATTATCTTCCCTCACTTGCTAATTCTACTCATTTTTTCCATGGCACAGAGAAGCCAAGAAGGATTTCCTTCCACGCTGTTTCTTCCTCACGTTCTTTCAGCCTTTGGATTTCCTCTCCTGTTGCTTCTGTTGTGTTGACAGACTACCCTAAATAAAGCTTAGACATTAATCAGTCACCTTGGCCATGTTTTTGTTGTGTTGAGAGACCACCCTAAATGAAGGTTAGACATTAATTAACCAGTCACCTTGGCCATGTTTTTGTTATGTTGGTGAGGATAAAGGAATCAACTAGTCTTTCAGTGTCATTGAACCACATGATCATAGTTCAAAAACAGGCGTCAGCAGAAGTTACCTAAGAACCTTGGAGTTTCTTCTGCACGACAGTGTACAATCCCAACTGAGTCCAGTTTTTCCAGATACAAACGAGAAGAAAACACAGGTTCAATGGGAGAAAACTGCATTTCCTCACTTACCAAAACAACAACTACAGGATACAAGAGAGGAAGGCTGCTCTCCTCAAGTGCAGTCAGGAACTTCCGGGGCGCTTGAAAATCAGAGGACAGAACCTGGAAGACAGCAAAATAAGAGACCACGAAAGGAAGATCGTACAGAAAGGAAGTTGACTCATGAGGAGATGAACTTTATATCACATTCAATGTATTTATCAGAATTAACCATTAAACAAACCACTTTAAAAGATACACATAATTTATGCATATTAAGATGTGAGCTATTTTCTGGGTTGAACTTACATCATAATATCTGCTTTATACATGGAAAAATTAAATTACTGTCTATAGAAGCAATACTTGCATCTCCTTCTAGGAATTGGGTTCAGAAAATAATGTTTTCCTATTTGAAATAGTAAGTAATGCAATTTTTAAGCATGCAGTGAATAGTACAACTAGTCTACCAAAATCGTCTGTTGCACATGTATGAGTCAAGAAAGATCCATTCTCCCTAACGTTGTTTGCTCGGGTCTCAAATGCTCCAACCATTATGTTCAGGACTTACAGTCACACAGATGAAGCTATAGCACTGGTCTATGAGGAAGTTCTGAACGTCTCCACCTGAGTGATCCAGAGCTGTGGGTGTGATGGCAGCACACTAGGAGAAGAACACATCAGAAGACATTACAGTCTGGACAGACGGACCTACATGGACGTCAGTGACCTTAGGACAAAGCAGCAGAAAGAGATTTCAATTAATCCATGAATAATGTATAGTATTTTAAAAAATAAAAATGCAGAAAACTATTTCAAATAGGAAAAAAAATGCTGGGGACCAAGAAAACACTAAGGAACAGGCAAGGAGCCTGGTTTATGTTTTATGAGGAATTTACTACAGTGAATGCTCAGGGATAGAAGAGAAAGGCAGACTGGTCAGTGCTGTCAGAATTACAGAAGCTTCGTAAATGCCATAGTTCACACAGTATATTTCACTCCACCCAGAATGACTAAAAGCAGGGAAAGCAGTAAGAATCATTACAACGATGTCTGTTAAAGAGAAATAAGAGCTGAACTTGGGCAATAATAACCAAAAACAACGACCGAAAAAGAAAACATCTAAGATGTAGCTCATCTGGATGCGGTGACACACACCTCTGATCCCAGTACTCAGACCACAGAGGCTGGTGGATCTCTGTGAGCTCCAGGCCAGCACTGCCTTCATAGTGAGACTCTGTCTCAGCAAACAAATAAACAAAAAGTAGTAAGCAACCTTAGACTACATTAGAAGAGACAGCACATCAATCATAAAAATGCTCCCAATAAAATAGGCCTTACGTCTTGGCATTATCTTGCTTCATGTTTTTCTTTAATTATAAACATGAATTTAAGAATTATTATAAAGGGTTCTCTTATAAAATCTACCTGTAATAATGTCCCAAGAACTCACATCTCATGGTTCATACCTGCATGGTGTTTATCACACTTTACAATCTACTTCTAAAATACAAGGCTGAACCTGACACATGGAACTATAACCCAGATGCCCTACTCAACAGCTTAAGTCCATGTACTGTTATAAACTACTGGATGATGGAGGGGGAAGGTTTCAAGAACTAGTTCTGATATGGAAATTAGTTCACTGATAACTCCTAAGATTTCATTTCCATTTAAAATTTGTATTGAGCCCAAAGCTTAAAGAGAACACTGATTTAAAAAACAAAACAAAACAACCCACAAAAGCAAGCCTTCCCTGGCAGCACACACAATTAACACATTAAGAGAGATCAGCTCCCTCTGCGTACCAAGCTTCACCAAGAAATCCCATCCTCTGGATGTTACAAGGAGATGATGTTTCACAGCCTCTAAAATAGCCAAACAATTTCAAAGGCGCTAAGCGGCTAACTTGCTCCAGACTCTTCCATGATGTTGCTCTAGCCGACCACCTGCTATGAAAGCTTTGCCTTGCTCCTGTAGACTCACTTACTTTTTAGAAATGAAGACTAGAGATGTCAGTCTCCTGGGAGCACTTTCCCCAAACACTCCCGAGTCATAAAGATATGTCTCCCATGTGACTGAAGGTTTGTAGGCATCCTTTGCTTAACGTTAGACTTTCCTAGTATCAGGATTTTTTCCTTTAAAATGATTTTTTCCCAGACCCATCACAGTTCCCCCTTCCTCCCTCCGGTCTTCCCAGTCCCTCCCTCCAACCACCCCCCCCATCCACTTCCTTTCCCCTCCCTTCAGAAAGGTGCAGGTCTTGCATGTGTATCAGTCAGCTAGAACCTGATAGACGAGAAAGTGGAGAATAGCCTTGAATGCATTGGCACAGGAGACAACTTTCTTGAACAGAACACCAATCATGCAGGGATAAGATCAACAGTTAATAAATGGGACCTCATAAAACTAAAAAGCAAAGGACACCATCAAAAAGAACAAAACGGCAGACTACAGAATGGGAAAAGTTTTACCAACCCCACATCTGAAAGAGGGCTAATTTCCAAAATGTATAAAGAACTCAAGAAACTAGATATCAACAAACCAAATAATATAATTTTTAAGAAAACATGGTATAGAGAATTCTCAACAGAGGAATCTCAAATGGCTTAGAAACAAGTAAAGAAATGTTAAACATCCTTAGCCATCAGGAAAACGCAAATCAAAATGACTCTGAAATTCCATCTTACACCTGTCAGGACGTTTATAAAGGGCCCCATTACCAGGAAACAGCTAACCTAACTACATCTCTCCTGTAGGAGTTGCAGTTCAGAGTGCAAGTTCAGTCCTGCTTCTCCCTACTGGAATACCTGTGAGGAGTAAAGCATCTTTTACAGGGCCTGGAGTCTCAGGTCTCCTACAGGATCAGTGGTACTATGTCCTCATAAGCAGTATGCATGGAAACTGAATCGTCTCTCATTCGTCAGATATGAATCCAGACAACCACAGAAACAGACCTTATCATGCAGAACTCTGGATTCAGAAGAATGGCTTTAGTTTAAAAATTCCATTTTTGCTGGGCAGTGGTGGCACATACCTTTAATCCCAGCACTCGGGAGGCAGAGCCAGGCCGATCTCTGTGAGTTCGAGGCCAGCCTGGTCTACTGAGCAAGATCCAAGACAGGCACAAAAACTACACAGAGAAACCCTGCCTCGAAAAAACAAAAAATTCCTTTTGTATGCACATAAATGAGATCTGTGATGAAAATGTGAGCCTTATAATGAGTTAAGCTCCTAAGCATTAAAAAAAAAATAGGTGAATTTCTTAAGGACAGAGTTTGGAATACTTGAGAAAAAAATACATTTTTAATCACTAGCAAATGCTTAACAGCGTTTAAAACTTTGCCATATTATATATAAAAGAAGACCAGCTTTACTCAAGAAAAATAACATATATTTTTAATCACCAAAGAGTAATCTCTGAGTGTGGGATGGATACCATTCAATGCTATAACTACAAGAACAGGAGGATGACATAAAGGAATAAATATATTTCTTATAAAAGGATGCAATACATATAAAATTTTTAAATTTAAATGAAAGAGCACTAAATACAGTATACCTGAAACCACTGATAAACTTGAGATAATCTGCAACATGCAGAGAAACCAATTTCCAATGATTAAACAAAGGTATCACCAAATACGATAGAGACCCTGGACTATTAATGACAACCTGATCCATTTGAAAGTCAGTGTTGACACCTTCTGTGAAAGAGGAGGAGCAAGCTGGATCATCATCCGGAAATTATGCGGTAACTGCATGTCTTCCATATTTTACAAGCAACAACCTACATCCAAGGACACTTGGTTTTTAATACTGCCCTACTTATTAATTCATTTTCGCACACTTTCATATTGGATTATATTAATCTGCAAGAGTTTTGTGGACTTGTATTTGGTTTTGTATATGCATGATAAATGCACAAGTGTAGCAATGTGCATACCATTGCGTGTGTGTGGAGGTCAGACAGTTGTGGGCATCTGTCCCCACCTTCTACTCTGTTCATGAAAGGATCTGTTGGCTGCTGCTGCTGCTGTGTACACAAGGCAAAGAGGCCATGCAGTTTCTGAGGAATTCTCCTGTCTCCCACCTCACAGGAGAATGCAGGAATTGTGTCTAACTTTCGTGAGTTCTAAGGATGTAAACTCAGGTGGCCCTCATGTTCACACAGCAAGCATCTTGCTGACTGAGTCATCTCCATAGCTTTGTTTTATGTTTTTAAGCAAAGACCTCTAACTTTCGTGAGTTCTAAGGATGTAAACTCAGGTGGCCCTCATGTTCACACAGCAAGCATCTTGCCGACTGAGTCATCTCCATAGCTTTGTTTTATGTTTTTAAGCAAAGACCTCAACAGGTGTATATTCCTTGAGCCTTTTGTTTTGAATTCTGAGAATAACTTGCCTAGGAATAAAAGTTTGCATTATACTTTCTTTCCTTCATAAACGTATACATCCTAGCCATTCCACCTCAAGATCACATTCTTACCCCCAGGTCTTCACTCCATCTCTCATGTGCCCATTCTCTACCAATCACTGTATTGGCTAGATTCCAACACTGAGTGGATTTTCATAGGTGTCCTCAGAGACGTGATATGTGTAATTTGCTTTCCTTCTCTCTTTGCAGCTGAGGGACAATCAGACATGGGATGATATTCCTGAATTCTGATTTCATTTGAAACTTGTAGATGAGGGTCCATCAACTTTCAGTGGCCTTGTGGAAATGTAAAGCTCAGTCAGCATCCCTAAGTCTTGCTTGCTTTTGGGTTTTGCACCAAGGGGCACTTGGAGGAACTCTTCATGTCAGAGGCCCCTTGGAGAACGGGTGGATTTCCTATTCAAGAGGTTTCTTTCCAACTGCCCCTGGCCTTTGCTGTACTATGCCTCAGGATCTTGGCTTGTTCAATTTACCAAACACCTGTTACGGTGACTCGTGCACTCACAGGAGAGGGAGTTTACATTGCACAGTTTAGGAGTATCAGTATGCTCTGCAGAAAGACATGAGGTAGACCGGAGGGATGTAAGGGCCAGCCCGGAAACAGAGGGGGAATGAATGGAGCTCCACCAGCTGCTTCCTTAGACGCCATTTGTCCATCTTGAACTCTGTGTAAAGATGGTGCCATGGGCATTCCGTAGGGTTGGAGTCTACTCCCGAACCCACACCCACCTGTTAGTCTTCATGGGAAAACCGACACCGCACAGCCAGAAGGGAGCCTCGCTCTCAGGGAGCTCTAAGCCCCGCCTGGCTGTCAAGACAAAGCAATCTTTATACTGTGTTTATTATGCTTGTGCTTTTTATGGAAAGAATTGGACAGAGAGAATTTATAAATTGTCTTCATACTATCATATTTACTTGGTTGTTACTTTTTAACTATTTTAATATATTATTCTACTTTTATGTTAAACATTCTGAAAACAAAGTGTTCCCTAATATTGGGACTATTTTAAGATTAATATGCCTTAAGCAGTTTCATATTCTAATTAAGAATTGCAATTTTATACAAATTGCATTTTATAAAACTGCACTTAGATTAATTCTAAAATGTGACTTCATCATTAAAGTCCCCTATAATTTGTTTAGAATCCACTTACTCCAAATACAACCAACCAACTCCACTCTTCAACACAGACTTTTAATTTTTAAAGTCCGTTTCCTTCATTGGTA